GTATGGCTTTAGACATGGGTTAAGTACTGAGAATGATCTTTATAAATTTATTTTACACCTAAGCTTTATAAATATTAATCTATGAGGTTTTATTTGTGTATCTTAGACTAATATGTTTATTTTAAATTTCTTTCTTTATAATGTACATTTTCTTGATAAAATTTCTAAACTATATTTGTATATTTAGCTTTATACGTACTTAGAACTTAATTTTATAATTATAATAATTTTATCATATATTATATAATAACTTTCTTTCTCCAACACAAGCTTTGTTTAAAGGAGAAAGATAATCGAAAATGTTACTCAATAATAACGTATGTCTGTTTTTCGATTAAAAAAAAAAAAATAAATAAATAAATGTATTATCAAGATTATTTCCATTTTTAGAATCGTGTAGACATCGCTACTCAACTTGACACATATGGAAATAGCAAATAAATTATTTTAACTTTGGCTACAATTAACTCAAATCATTTTTTTCACCTGCAGAAACATCCATCATAAAAACCGAAGAACTCTAATACTAAATCGCGGCCATTAGCATAAATTTTCCTTAAAATATAATCACACTTAAATGGTAATAAGTTATTAAGAATAACCAAATACTATTAAGTAAATTACATTTTAGTTTAGAACTATTTGTGATAATTAGTAAAAAAAAGGAATTACTGATTAGACAAAGAATATAGAAGACAATAAAATATATCAAAATAATAATTTTTAATAATTTATATTAAACATAAACATGTTAGACATCTGTCATAACACAGAGAACTATTTAGATATGTCTGTTACATTTGATTGCTATCATTCCCCAAAAAAATGAAAATGAGCACAATATTTAATAATAATCAATTATTAAAAATGAAAAACATTATATAATATCTAAAAGTTTCCTGAATTACTATTAAATTGTAATGCTCAACCATCTTAAATTTTATACATTCAATATCAATTATATAAATTAAATTTTTGAAATGTACCTAATTTAAATAATGCATACGTTAAAATGAGCAATTGACTTAAGTCACTTCAACCAGTTAAAAATGAGTTATAAATGATTAGACTAATTATATTCATATAGTATACAACTGTGCTGATCAAAACTAATCATGATTTAATTATATAATTTTAATATAAAGTTATCCCTGAATACCTAGTAAACTAAGTACTTAGGTAAATACTATACTGTTATTATCTGACAAATATGAGTAAAAAATATGATTCTATACTAACATGTAAGCTTAAAAATTTATTTTTGAAATTAAAAAATGCAATACTTATATTAAAAAAAAAACAAATATCTTACCTATATTATATAAATGCAATATTTAAAATGTATAATAATAATAATTATAGTAATGTACACAAATTAAAAATTCTATAATGTCTATATATTAATTTTATTTTCTGTTCAAATGTTCAAGACCATAATTTAACTTATTGTTTGCTTTGACGTCAAGCCAGTTGTCTACATTCCTAGTATGTTTTCTTGTTTTTTCTTTAGGATTAATTTTACGCTTTTTGTTACTTCCTGTGCTCTGTTTAATAAAGGTAAATTATTTTATTACAATTTATTTCACAATATAAATGTTATAATTATTACTTAATAATATGGTAACTTACACAAGACTTATCAATTGAGATTATGTTGTCAGATCCAACGTAATCCTCAATAATTAGGTACTGCATCAATTAAATATTCTATATTATTAATTGTAGGTAGATCTAATAAAATAGAAAATCAAGTTGTAAAATATTTTTATGGTTTAGTCAAATTGCAATGAGTATTATACTATTATAATAGTATCATTTTTTACATAGTAATATGGAAACCTATCTATAACTATTGATTGTATTAAAACAAATTTTAAGTTTTATAATGTAAGTGATTTCTTGCGTTTATTAACTTATAGTATGAGTGCCTATATTAATTTTACTTATAAAAGCTATGAATAAATTTGTAAAGATGACATGGGTAGTTACTTATAAAGATAATAATTGTATGTTTAGTATGAGTATTTTTTAATTTTAACATTAACTTTAATTATTTTTGATATAATTATTTCTATAGTAGTTGTTTTATGATAAAATAATTGACCTCTTCTAAAACAGGATCATTATTAAAGTTTTCTTTCAAGTTTAAATTTATGTTGTTTGGGGTGTATTCTGGATCCTTGTCACTGTCATAATTTCACTTATGGCCTATCTGATTCCGAACTCCATTTAAAATGATCACTACTTATGGTTTCATACTCATAAAGACTAAGTATAACATCAGTATCAATTGATTTGTTGTTAATAAATTCCTATTTAGTTAAGAATATTGTTATTATAAAACACAAATGATAAGTAAATGAAACACATTGTGACCATAATATAATAATAATAGTATTATGTACATTATTACTGAGGTAAAAGTAGTTTGGTACAATTCCTTATAATATAAATGTGTTGTCACAATGATGTGAATATTTTTGTATAATAATAGGACCAAACATGTGAGCGCCCCGAGTAGGGATTACCCGAAAGACCACTCGGTAAATGGTAATGCTCGAGAACAATTTCTGTTTACGATTATGGCCAATACTAACTCCGATTATTGCTCTGGGTAGGCAACCATATGTTCCCCCGCCTGATATTTAACGAGTAGGCAATTCTACGCATGACGACGTTCAAGGAGAGGACGGAAGAGACCTATCGAAGGCATGAGTGTGGTGCAAGTTAGTTATGGGGGTCTCGGTGGTCGTCTAGGTAATAATACTCGACGATCATTATAATAGTTACAATAATAATATAATAAATCACATGACAATTAATGAGTGGATAGAAGGGAGGTGATGAGGATGATGGTCACCGCCGTGCACAGAATTGCATAACGCGACGCTCTAATAGCTTACAATAACAATAGTATTAACAAGAATAATCTTACAATCAATTATTGGTAAATTTGATAAATATATTCTTAAAAATAAAACCCAATAAAATCATTAATAATTGATTCTGATTAAGCCAAACTGATACTAAATTATTTCTTTATTCTTATAATAAATACATGTATTGTAAAAATGTATTACTTTATTAATATATATATTATTTATAAAATAAATCCAAATATAGCCAATAGCAATATAAATTAATATTTTAATACATTTTATGTAAACATAAAAACTGTTTCGTATCTATTAAAATATGTATAAAATGCATAGTAAGCATCCTACGTAATAAAAAATAAATTTGTTTTCATTACTTAAAATAACATGCATTAAAGTGTAAGTATTATTTAAAAAAAATGTATGATAAGAACTTAAGGTACATAGTTAAATTTACATAAATGACAAGTGCTCTAATGACTCCAATGAAATAAATAGGTACCTGATTAATATCCTATTGTCTTGGTTCCTGTAGTGTCTCACAAAAATTTAACTACTGCAAGTTACAACTTATGAGCTTTTTGGGTCGAAAACAAATGTTGCGCATTGGAGTTAGGAATTTATATTTTATTATAAACAACAAATCAGTTTTTTAAATTTTTTGTAGGGGCCTTCAATAAAATGTAAATAATTGTATTTTTTCTAGACTACTCAACACCCGTATTAACTTATATTAGCCCGTATGATAACGGTTATTAAAACCCAAACATTTGCTAAAATTTTTGATTTTGTTATTTGAACACCCGAAACCCAATTAAATGATTCGGATGTAAAGCCCTGGTTTAAAGTGATGTCATATGGTGTTCACATAAATGTTTTTGAACTTAATATTCAACTAGGTAGCTAAATGTCTAAACACAAGTCATATTATATTCAAATTCAATTTTCATTATTTATTTATTTTAACAGTTAGTTAGTACTGTTTTAAATTCCATTAGTTATTTAAACTTTGTTAAGTTTTACCATAGTAGTTTGATTCTGTTAAAATAATATCATTAAATTGTTCACCCGGACCCACAATTAAACCATCTCAATTTACGTAGTATAATTTAAATTAAAGTAGTATAAATAACTTAGATTATGGTAGATGTCTGTCAATATGACATCTATGTTTATGTTCCAGTTACTGTCACATCCAATAGCTATGTTTGCGTCTAATGGTCCAGTTAAAGGGGTAATACATAACTTATCATTAAAGCAACTGTTTTGTTAGAAAAATAAAGTTGCTATCTTTGTAATACAAACATGCTAAACACTCGGCCTATGGGCTGCATGTGACCTTTTTTATGATTTTCGGATAGCAATTATAATGAACAATTAATTGAAAAAAAGTTATACAGCTTTCCTTTTGTGTCACAACTATGTTAGTAAGAGGTACACAAAATGTTACTCTTCTGTATTATCTTCTGATAAACTGTAATTTAATAGTGCTGTAAATAATGAATAAAATTAAAATTTTTTATATTTTTATGTGCAACCCTTATAATAAATTGTTCAATATATTTGGCCCAGTTAATATTTTGAGTTTGACATGTCTGGTGCAGTATAGTAATTAAAACAAATAAATAAAACAAGAGAGAAATAATTAAAAGTATGATATAATTTTGTTACACTCAAAAAAATATAATATAAAAAAAATTGAATGATTTGTTATAATAATTGTAATTCAAAATTAATACAAATCTATAAATTATATCTTGATGTTTGTTTTAATATTAGGCTAATCATGAAAAAAGGAAATTATACAATCAATAATAGATCACTGAGGTAAATAAAAACAAAATATTTTAACATAAATTATTTATTTATATACATGGTGATTTTTCATATCAATGGTTAAAAATCAAATGGAATCATGGTAAAATAGTGTAAAAATAACATTTCTTTATTAATACATTTAAATCATTAAAAAGAAGTAGCTATTGGTTTAATATTCAAAATATAGATGATTATGTCCATCCAAAATTTTAAAAATATATTATTTTTATTATTGATAAAAAAATTATAAAAGATTTAATTTTTCCTAAAATGTAAACATTCAAAAATAAAAAAAAATGTGTGAGCATTAAAAATCACCATGTACAGAGTTATAGAAAAACTGTTCGGTTTTTCCCCAAAAACATTATGTTCCCTTTACTGATTGTTGATTATTATAATAGACTATAATTTTGCTTCAAAGTTAAATTCTTTTAAAAATTTAAATTTAAAAGTATAAGAAAAATCAATTTCAAGCTTAAAAATTATTATTGTGTTAATCAATGAAAGTTACTTGATGTTGATAATAGAAAATAATTATAAAATATAATTAAGAATTATCTTTTGTTAGAAGTTAAGACGTCAGTATTTAATCATTCCACTAATATCTTGGGTTTCTCCCATGGGAATATGTCACGACCAAAATGTCCATAAGAGCTCGTCTGTTGATAAATTGGGTTTCGTAGATTTAATTCCCTATAAAATAAAACACAATTTTACTAACTAAAAAAAAAATTAAATATTAAATTACAGTTATTTATTTATTCATTTTAAATATGGGCAGTTGAACAATGGGAAAGAATTACATAAACTCGTCATTAGTATTGTGATGAATGTGTCATATATTGTCACTTGCATTGTAATTATCTTCAGAACCACTCTTTCATATATTATTCCATTTCTTTAGGGCTATTAATAACTTTAATCAATATGTTTCAAAATATAATTTTGTAAATAAAAGAATTTTAGAAATATTTCATGATAACTTACCGACCTGCATTTATTAGTACCTATCTTATCGTTAACCGTTAATTCATATATTGTGTAGCAATGAGCAAAATACGACAGACCACCCTAGCCTTAATATAATATAATAATAAGATGTATAATAATAGGAGATAAAAGCAGAAAAAAATCAAAAATGAAATAAATAATATTTTATATGTATCTTAGGAAGTTATATTTTTTCAATGTAGTTTTTAATTTTTTTATATGTATTTAATTTAAAAAACCATAAGATAAATGTTACTTATAAGCTGTTACAAAAAAAAAAATTTTTTATGTTGGTTTCAATGTTCTGTATTGATTGAGTAGTTAATGATAATGGAAATACAATAAGGTAAGTGCAATGCTCACTCAGTACAAATGATGTAACATTACATACTAATACCAACAATGGCTTGGGTTAAAATATTCACAAAAATGACGAAATAGTTAAGCCTAATATATTAACAAAAATGTTCTATGTTGATAATCTATATCATCCTAACTAGGGCATCCCTACCTGATTAGTGGTGTATACTGGTACCGAGAGAGAATACGTCTTACATGAAGAAAAATAATTAACTTTAAAATTAACAGTTAGGAGATATGGAGAATTTTTTTTACTTAACAGTTATTGGTTATAACTCATCTACCAGCAAAGGAGGTCAATGTTAAGAGATAAACAAACAAGAGAATAATAACATTTCAATTGATCTTTCAATACATAGTACATACCTAGTAAAATACTAGAATGTATATTATACATACTCTACAAGAGAACTATAATCATTAGTACGTGGTTCCCAGCATCCCAAAATGTAAATGCCAACAAGACTACAGAGAAATTTCTAATTAATATTATGAATACTATACATGAATACATGAATTCAGAATTATAGTTATAAAATAGAAACAAAGTCTAATCCAGAACATATTTGTATTTAATGGAGTATTGCTTGTTAAATTCTTTTGTTTGAAATACCTAAAACACTAATCACTTTATCAAAATATCATAACTATACTACTCGGTACTCGATACTATAACTAATAATAAACATTAGTTTTAAATTTAACACCTCTGTCATTATACAATATGATGGTAAATGACTGCCAAATAACAAAATGTTATTTATACAATTCACTTTTACTTTTACTTACTTGACAATTTTTCCTGGTTTTAAATCAAAATTCTTACGTACAATGTCCAACAATTCTTTTTGAGTTTTAGTAGATGTGCCATAATGGAAAAGTGTGATTGATATCGGTTCTGCTACTCCAATAGCATAAGATACCTAATTCCAAAATAATACAAGTATAAATCTTTATAATTTTTATAAAATTATAAGCATTTTAACAACATACTTGTACTAAACAACGTTTACAAAGTCCAGATTTAACTAAAGACTTAGCAACCCAACGTGCTGCGTATGCAGCTGAACGATCAACCTTAGTATAATCCTTGCCCGAGAATGCGCCACCTCCATGAGCTCCCCAACCTCCATAAGTATCGACAATAATCTTTCTTCCTGTCAAGCCAGCATCAGACTAAAAACCAATTTATAAAATTCATATAATTATTATTATTACAGACATATGCCTAATAAATATATGTAATTGTATAATTATAAAACTGTTTATACTTGAGGACCGCCCATTACAAATTGACCACAGGGATTGATGTGGTAGACTGTTTTGTCATCAAGATACTGTACTGGTATTACTGTCTTGACAACTTTCAACATAACTTCTTGTTTTAAGTCTTCCAAAGTAATTTTTTCAGAATGTTGTACAGATATTACAACTGTGTGCACTCGCTGAGGGACGCAAGCACCATCAACTAAATAGTATTCGCAAGTGACCTATTAAATTGAGCAAATTACAAAAATGAATAAGTTAGATAAAAATCTAAAAGTACATGCATTGTTTCACAAAAATTTTAAAATGTTTTTATTTAACTTATTGCATTTAATAAAATTAAAGAAATAAAATGCTTAAGAAACATGTATAAAATCAATAAAACAGTTAATATTGAAATTAATTTGTATTTTATGATAATATATACTCCACTTACCAAGAGAATATGGTAACTTTAGGCATAAGACTCTAAATGAAGAAAAGAATAGAGACCTGAGTCCACTATGAGTAGTTAAAGCACAGTACAACCACATTCTCTTAGTGTTTAGAGACATTTTTTTAAAATGTATTAAGTTTATCAATACATTTGAACATTCCACATAACAATGAATTTATTAACTTGAAACAAGGTGTTAATAAATAAATTATGATGTGTTTGAATTAAGAAGAGCTTCATGTATCCTACCGCTTATCCAAGATCTGGGTTAGAATTTATTGAAAACAAATTTATTGTTAAGAGATTCAGCTTTAGTTATACTGAAGGTAAAAGAAAATTTTTAACCAAATAAAGTTTTTTAAAAAGGTTTTCTAAGGTATCTTCTGTACTACCAGTAAAGGGTAAAGATTTAAATAAAACAACAAGCAAGGAATTTCATGACATTCAAATAATGGTAACAGTAACCAATTTATTCTAAAAGGTACCTTAGAAATTACATTTTTACAGAAATTGTCTGCTATCAACATTTCCCAGTTTTTGATTAACTGCATGTTGAATATATTAAAGACTCATTTATCCATTTATTATTATTCTTTATTCACCTGTGTTTTTGTGTCAGGGAGTGCCCACCAAAGTTCTCCATTTCTTCGGAGTTCAGCTATTTTTTCATTAAGTTTATGAGCCAGTAAAACTGTTAAAGGCATACATTCTTCAGTTTCATCAGTAGCATAGCCAAACATGAGGCCCTACAGTTTAAAAACAATTTAATTAGTTTTAAATGTAAACGATTAATTATACAAATATATACAACATATCAAATTTGCTATCTATATAACCAATTTTGTATTGTTAGCATAGGAAGTTTCCTGAAACTTTTGAAGACCTACATTCAGTGTCCAATTAAGCAGTATAATAGCCAAATTAACTTTAAATGGACATTTATCTACACTGAAAAATTAATGACACATTGTTACCTGTAACTTAAAATTTTGTTTTAAAATTATTTGTTTAGTTCTATTAATTTTTAATCCTGTATTTATTTATATTTGCGTTGTATTGTATTTAGGAAATATTATTAACTCTTTGTTTAAATTATACCAAGGTATAAACTAGAACAATATAAATGTTTAGATTTTGAGATGTACCTACTATTTTAATAATTTTTTTGTGTTAGTGTGAATAGCTAATTCAATTTTTAACCCAAAAGCACAAACTTCAAGATTTCTGAGACCATTTACATTTACATTTACCATTTAATGTCTATCTGAAGTACCTTCTAGTTCAGTGAGAAATTAAAATTTAATATGATTCCCGACTGTAGATCTGATGCCAGTAATATAGAAATGTTCAAAGTTCATTACCTATTAAAATACTGTGTAAATGCCGTTGTGTTTGCTAATCGTGAAAAGCTGTGACATTTATGAACAACTTAATTTTATAAAAACTCAACTATGAGTTATTTTTAAATTGTTTTTCATAATAATTTGAGTTCAATTTATCTTATCAATTGTAATAATTATTAATATTTAAAAATATCTAGTTTTAATTGAAATAATTCAATACACAGTCAAAAACACTGTGTGCGTGAATATTTTTAAATTACTTCTAAATTAGGGTTAAGTAACTTTATTTACAATTATGCTATACTATGTTGACAAAAATTCTTAAATTAATTCTTAAGTAGTAGTTTAAAACAAAAACAAAAATTGTTATAGAATTTAAATGTCTTACTTCATAAGTTGGCCATTTGCATAATTATAATAAACACTGTACTATAAAATGTATTATTTAATTTATACTTAATTTTTATAAAATATATTACATTTATACATTATACTTTATATGTTGTATGTGTACGTTTTTATCCTAAAATATAATCCTTATTTTATGTAGTGTGGGCATTGGACAGTGTATAAAACATGGTCAAATACAATCAAACCATTTTTTTTAAATGTAAAAGTAATTTTTTTCTATTTGAAGAACAACATACCTGATCTCCAGCACCAATCTCCTCATCAGACTTATTAATATGTACACCAGAAGCAATATTTGGAGATTGTTGATCAATAGCAAGCATCACAGAGCAAGTCTTATAATCAAAACCTATGAACCAGATATGTATGTTATAACATAATAAAAATATTATTAGATTGAAAACATAGTTAAAATTGAGGTATCCTAAATCTAAAAACGTATTTTCAATTCCATGTTGTTAATTATTTAAAATGTTGATAATTTATTTGGAATAGTCAAAAATGATACTTGTTATACTGAATACTATTAATTTATTATTTTTTATAAATAATAAATACTCTTACATAATTTAAGGAATAACTATTCTATTAAAAACTATTTATAATAAGTGATATTTACCTTTTGATGAATCGTCATAACCTATGTGTTGTATTGTGTTACGAACCACTTTTTGATAGTCAACTTTAGCTTTAGATGTTATTTCTCCACACAGTAATACCATTCCAGTTTTGGTTACAGTTTCTATAACATCATATTTATGTAAAATAAAAACAACTCAAAATATATATAATACTTATGTATAAATGTAATTGTTAGTTTTAAGACAAGTTAAAAAATATAAATATAACTTAAGGTCTTTGTTATTGTTGTGATAAATATTATATTAGTTATGTACATTTTCCAAACACACTTAATATGCTTTTCTAGAATTTGGAACCGAATGTGTTTGAACAAATTGAGGTGTATATTGATGTATACTGTAAAACCCACAGCACAATAAATTACATAGGTAGTTCATTTGTATTTAAACGTAACATGTAACCGAAAAATAAATTGAAAACTATCCTTATTATTCAAAATGGTGATATTACAAATCATTCTGTTGTTAATTGTTTCAATGTTGCTGGTATACTGTTATTTTTAATCAATAATTTCTCCATGGTTAGTGGCAAGGAAAAAATATAAACTTTTTGAGTATCTTCAAAATACAAGTAACAATCTTTTAGAGCCAGTTTTCATTATCATATGCATTTTATTTTCTAAGATATGATGGTTTAAAATTAAAATTAAAATTAAAAATATTTGTTTGTTTACCTACAAAGGCCAAATTTGTTTTTTTGTAAAATAAATTGTTATCTTAAGTCTAACAAATGTAAATGAATTAAGTAATATTAATCATAATTATTTCACTTAAGACTATATATATTTGAGATGTCCTATAATACAATTTTATATTTCTTATATGATATTTTAGTACATATCATGTGTTTATGATACATATTAAATAATTTAAAAACCATTATAATCCATTATATAGTAAATTAAGTCGTAAAAGATTATTAAAAACCAATAAATAAGAATAAATTAAATAAATTGTTTTAATTTTAAGACCAATTAGTTGGGTATAACTAATGTGATACATTCATATTACAATACATCCCCAAAAGCTCCTAAAAAAAAAAACAAAAATTATACAGGTAACGTAAAAAATACATCAAAAAGTAAATTTAGTTAGAAAAGTAATTAAAACATTTTTTAATTTTTATAAACGGGGCAATCAAAGATACTATAGTGTTATCACATACAACAGCTATAATATTTAAAAAAAGTATAATCAATACAACCTGGAAAAGACTTTATACAGTATACAAATTTAAGTTATGGTAACCTCAATATTTACTACCACCAGTTGGTGCAGTAAGCAATATTTGTTCAACTAGTATGCCCATAAAACAACCCATTCAAATAAATAATTAAGGAACACAAATTGTGTCAGTTTATAATTAATTCTTAATGAAAGGTTTAGTCATATTAAAAAAGTTCCAAAGTAAATTGGTCAGGTATGGCATAACTCTATTTGTTTTTAAGTATACTTATTTAATACATTTAGTAAAATATAAAAAACTTATGGTTTAAAAAAGAAGTTCTGCAAATGAATGTAAACATTGATATGAACTCACCGCAAGCCACTTTAGCGTCAGGATCTTGTTTCAGATGTGCGTCCAAAATAGCATCACTGATTTGATCACACATTTTATCTAGAAAATAAATGAAGTAAACAAAATTTGAATTGGATATGCTTTTATTAAGAATCATTGATATTAAAATAGGTATATAATATAAAGGTTTTTTTGACAATTATTGTTGTTTCTATTCAATAAGTCTTTAGATGCATCGACCAAGTCATATATATACAATTTTGGCACAACAGATTTTAAACCATTTGTTCTCATTTTTATGCATTTTAGTTTATTATTATTTAGTTTTTAATAAATAGTACCTATCTAATTGTTTTAATCAGAAATGTTTAGTATGTTAAATAGGTATAGTTGGAGTGTTTCAGTGTTTTTATTTCTAGTTAGATACACCGAATATATTTTACAGAGGTTTATTAAAAAAATCGAACATAAAATAGTAATGCAAATATGCGATTAACTAGTTAATCGGCAACAAAAATTATAATTTTGAAAACACAACATAAGTTAAAAAAACTGTCATGTGCACACCAAACAAACTAAATGAAACGAAAACATGTATTTGCATTATTAATTAGTTCAGCAAAAACGATTTTGAATAAAATTTACCCGGATGTCCTTCGCCCACGGATTCAGAAGTAAATAGAAACATCACGCTATCAGAGACTTCTGACTGATGTCCGATATCTTCATGTCGGTTTGCGGTCTTGTCGCCGTTTCTCAGTAATTTATATTCTTCGGTCATGATTTAGACTGTCGATAAAAAGAGAAATAGTGCGTTTATTGGTTGATGCGTTCCACTTGCGATTTCGGTTACAGCTACTACTTCAGTTCCTTCTCTGTTGGCATTTAAACGAGAGCTATAATCTATATACTGAAATAACACTTAGTAATAATAGAAATTAAATTCAAAATAGTAGTTAAGTAATATATGAAATTAATAAAATAAATAATAATAATTGAGTGTAAATACTTACGGGTTCGATTCTGTAGAAGTACCGATGCGCAGTTGACACCGATACGGGCGGGAAGGTTTGTTTGGGTACTGTGACAGGTGCGGCAGTTGGCGAGAACGAAATACTAAACACATATGGACCTGAAACAACCGGCAACAGGTGCCGCCAAATAGTATCATTGTTCAGAATCAGTGTTTGGAAATAGTGTCACTCCAACCGAATTTTTTTTAAACGTTTATCATTTCATTATCACCAGAAATTCGCAACTGCCACCACTAGGTTTCACTCGCTGATAATTTGGCCCTCAACGGTAATGATGGAAGGGTCAGGGGAGGGGTTATACATCGTATTTTAAGAATACAAATTAGGTAGTGTCAACTGTCAGTACTAAGTTAACATAGAACAACAATATAGTGAATAATATAATGAGGTTTTTAATCTAACTTCATATATTTTAGTTAATTTAATTTTAAATTTCAGCCAGTAATTTGTATGGATCGAAAAAAAATTCGGGCCGCAATTCGGAAGAAATGTCTACCGTGGGAAGAAACTAGTAGCCACCCGCGAAGCGATTCTCGGAAACGATTAGCCGATAATGATGACTGGACAAATATAGAACAATAATTAATGAAGAACAATAACAATCAATAATAATAATTATTATTATATTTTTCCAAAATGTAGTATAATCAAATGTATAAGAAAATATAAAGTACACACCGCCTGTGAATAATTTGATTTCAACACTACAAGCAGATAACTGATAAGTTTCCAGTGTTATGTGTTTTTTCATTATTTTATAAAATGGGTAAAAACTAGGGTTTTGGGTGAAAAACTTGATGTAAATCAAGAGGAATTAGGTTAAAAAAATGAACAATCAATGAAGAAAAAAGCGGGTAAGTGGATGTCGCTCTGCTATACATTAGGTGCCAAAGAGGTCACTGTAATGGATGGTATTAAATTTTAATTCAATGATATCATATCATTGTATACGAAAGACGATTCTGAGAGGAGGCGGTATATCAGTTAAGGATATTTTATGTTGTTATTACTATTATTATAAATATGGTAGTCAGTGAGTTGAATTAATATTATTCTTAAAACATCAGTGATGCTGGAAAAATATTCAATATACCTATGTAAAATTGGACAGTTTTGGAACCGAATTACAACAAAATGATGACCATTATTCCTTGTGTTAATATGCAATTTTGTCCGAATTTGAACTTAAAATGTCTGTAAAAAATAACTGTATTCATATATTTTTTAGATTTATTAGTTATAGAAAAAACTGCTTAAGTGGAACCTTGTTTTCAATTTTCAACTTGATAAATATTGTCAACATTTGAACTTTAAAGTTTAAATGCTTATGTACTTATAAAAAAATCGTGCCTACGTATTTTTAATATTTTTCAACTGCTATTGTAACAAATTATAAAGAGGCTTGTATTGAATTTTCATGTTTTTTGACCCAACCAATAACATTTTATTGATATTTATGGAAAAAAAAGGAAAATGGAAATGTCCGTCAACAGGTTAAAACGAGCCAGAATATTTTGAAAATTTTATCAAGTATATGCATTGATGAAATAAGCATTTAGTGCGAATTTGAAGTGTCTACAGTAATTCGTTTTTGAATCACAACAAAATAAGAAAATCACTACAAGAGAAATCGAGTGAATATCCAACGTAAAAATTTCAACTTCAAATGTTCATAAAAATTTAATTTGACTTTCCGGTAGACATTTTTTTTCTGATAAAGGTAGACAAACTTGTATGGAATTTTTTTTTACATTTTTAAATCTTAGATATAAATAGAACATTTTATATGAATTTCTAACTAAATATAATTTGCTAATTTTCGTGATTTTTACGAATTTTGCCAAAATTCTAGGGTTACGCTCACAAAATATTATTGTGGATTTACACTAAATTTTTTTGTAATACATCCCACACAGCACAAATATATCCAGTGGTTATACAGTGGATGTACTTTTCAGATATCCATAATATCCATTAAATGTTTATGACTTTCGTATGGATATCTATCAGATATCCAAATGTCCGTTTTTTTTTGGCATTTTTGGATATGCAAATTCAATATCCATTAGTTATTTGTTTAAGTTAACCGTGAGATGCCCTATGTTATCTAATGGATAACCATAAAATATCATTTATATACTTATACATATATCCAATGGATGATAATTTGAGATATTACAAAATATATATATATTAAAATATAAAATATATATTACAAATGTAGATTATGTAAATTAAATAACTGTTTTATTAAATAACAACAAATTTAACATATTCACTTTCAATGTTTTTGAATATTTAGATACTTATTATTATATAAAAATAAATAACTAATATTCAGTCTTTAAATTGCACCTATATTATCACAATATTCCAGTCTTTAAAATGACCATCATCAGTTTGAAACTATCAATATACTTACTATACAATTAAAAAAGTTGTACATACAAATAAATATAATATATTATCTTGAGATATTTTTATTTAGTTTTTAGAAACTAGAAAAAGAATGTAGCTTGCCGTATTACATTTTTATAAATAACAACATATTTAATATAATATTAATAAGTAAATTTTTTAAATCATATTCTCTTATACATATATATTTGAACATTTACTGTTAGTACCTATTCTATAAAAACAACAACTATAATATTCAGTCTTTGAAATTAACTTAGTTAGTTTGAAACTATCAATACATATAAAATTAAATGAGTAATACATACAAATACATATTATATTGTATTATAACCAAAATGCATTATTTAAATACTTCAGTGGCTTATATTTAATAATTATCTTGAATTTTTTTTAGGAATTACAAAAAAAAAATAATATAATTTAGCCATGTTATTTACTATAACATTGTCTTACCTAATAATTACTTAAAAACTATTTTTTATAAAATGTCTAGGTATATAAGATAAATAAATAAAAATCATAATAGTATGTGATTGATTATTTATTACATCACTAAATCATTTGCAGCATCATCTTTCTGTTTGAGTAATCTGAAATAATTATAAAAATATTTAAGTAATTATTTTGAAAATATTCATCATATCCAATGTTTTTACTTGTTTTTGTATCTAACTTCAGCATGTCTCATAAAGTTCTTAATACACGCAATAATATCAGACTCTTTTGAGTCCTTGCGTTTTTGAATACAGCATCTATATAAAAATAATTAAATGAATGTATTAAACAATATGAGCCATAAAAACAATTAAGCATCAATAAAACTATCTTACCAATAATTATCTTGGACAAGAATAAACTTGACAATGGTTTTTTCCTTTTTGCTCCAGTCCAGTTATATGAAGCAGCAAATTTGTCGGTGAAGAGTTTTCTTAAAATTAATTTTGTTACATCATCCGTTTTAATACCCCCTATTTTACAAACAGCATTAAACTAGAACAAAATACCAGTCTTATAAAAAATAAAATTGTATTTAAACACAAACAAATATATTAATTCAAAAAGTATTTAAAATAAAATTTCTTTTAGTTATCGTGTATTTTTACAAGTAATTGGTTTTCTCAGGTTTTCTCATATTTTTTATGTATCGTTCGGTCACCTTCTGCTACGGTCATTAAACATTATTATATTTGCAGGAGGTCCTTTTTTTTTTATATATTGTTCATCGTTGGTGATCAACTTGTGGTTTTGTTCTTTGTACGATTTGGCTGCTCTTTACCGTTTGCTGCAGTTGTATTATTTGATCATTCGTTATATGTTCAGCGGTGTGATATGAGTGTGCCAGATCAACTAGTTATTTTTTATTGTAACTTAAAATTATTATATACGGATCTGGGCACCACATGTCATCATAATTATATCAAGGTACGTGGTGCACCACATAGTTATATTTTATATCATATTATATCATTTTAACCTAGACTCAATGTATTTATTGTATCTTGGAATAATGAAATGGATTTTACAACAGTTACTTGGTGCCAAAATGAGAGTTAATCGTAAATGTAAACTTTCTCAAAACAAAAAGAATTCCAAAGGAAAACATTAGATTTAGATTCATTTACTCACTGGAAAGCTACACAATTTAGATTTTTTTAAATTACTGTGGGGCTCTGGTATTACGTAAAGTTCTTAAAAAAAAATGTACCATCATTTTTTACTGTTGGTAGTTGCTTGTAGAATTTTAAATGATCCTGAGTTATGTGTTGAATATATAAATTATGCGAGGGGCTTACTAAAAAAACTTTTTCAACTCCACCCTTCATTTTATGGATCTGATTCTCAAATTATGAGCAGCCATAATTTAGTTCATATAGCAGATGATGTAGAATATACTAATATGCCTCTCTCTGCAATTTCCGCATTTCCTTTGGAAAATTTTCTTGGAAAAATCAAACGAATGATTGGTGGTAGAAATATGCCTCTAGCACGGTTAGTTAAAAGAGTCTCTGAGCAAAAGGCATGTCCACAGATGATGATGGAAAATGATATACACAAAAAAAAAATGCCCAATAGTTAACCCTGACATAACTCATAAAAGAAAAAATTATTTAAAAAGCATAATTCTACGGGGATTTGAGTTGAATACAACACAACCCAACAATGTTGTAAAATTGTATTCTGGTGAGGTTTTTAGTATTACAAGAATTCAAAGAAAACAAAATAGTATTTATTTACATGGATATGCCTACAATACTGTCACTGATGCTTTCAAATTCCCTTGTAAATCTACAAATATTGGAATTATGAAATTGGGTAGATTATGTAACAGAAAAATAATTATTTCAATTGATACAATTTAAAAAAAAATGTGTTCTCTTTGAAAATGGGAGTCACAGTTATGCAGTGACATTACTTCATAGCT